TCTCCTATTCGCATCAGTTTTCAGGCGCTATACAATCAAGGGGGAAAACCTGTTTCCATCAAATAGATAAGCTTGTCCACATTTCCTGCATAATTTTCTGCCAATAAACTCTAGGGATAGGATGGTTGTCTGAAAAATATAAAAAAAAAAATTATTTCTTGAGAGATTTATAGACTTGGAAAAATAACTTAACTTTCCGTTTTAGTGGCAATATAATGACTTGCACACTTTAAACTTGTGTTCTTTGCAGCACATCAGTATGGATGGAGCCCTGCAACCATGATGTCAGAGCCAGCCAAGCTGGGGGAGGCTTACAGAGAGGAGCAGCAGCAGCATAAGGGAGGTCAGGTACAGAGGCGAACCAGGCGTCACCGTACAATCTTCACAGAGGAACAGCTGGATGCACTGGAGGAGCTCTTCCTGCAGAACCAGTATCCAGATGTGAACACAAGAGAGAAACTTGCTCAACAAACTCACTTGAGAGAAGAAAGAGTAGAAGTAATACAGCCTTTGATTTTATTTCTAATGCTTATTGAAGATGTCTGATACTCTTATGATTGACATCCTGCCAAATGTTTCCACGGAAGAAATAGAGCTCTTAAGGATGCCTTTTTCTTTTCTTTCTCACAGGTTTGGTTTAAAAACCGAAGAGCTAAATGGAGGCGTCAGAAAAGACTTTCATTTGTTGTCGGAAACACTAAGGACTAATGTTTTTCATACAGATCATACAATAAGGAACTTTTTTAGAGAATAATGCAATATTTATGGGTCATAATTTAGCCAAATAGCAAAGATTAAGAATAAAATGTATACAAATGTTGTAAGTTTGATTCCAGCTTCCTCTTGTCAGTTCTTCCTATGCCCCTGGGCAAGGCATTTAATCGTGTACCAATCTGCGTAGCGGTGTATGAAGGTGTGTGCTTCTGTGAAAGGCATGGGGTGAATGTGGCTATAATGTAAAGCGCTTTAAGTAGTCTTATGACCAGAAAAGCACTATATAAATTCAGCCAATTTAACATCCGTCTGCATCAGTTTCATCAAGTCAAACTGCATGTAGAGACTAGCACTATAAGTTAATCCTTTGGTTTTTGAAACTTAATACATCAAATATGCTTTCTTGTGTATAGTCCTTAATAAAAATTTATTTTTTAAAGGTGGATTAACTTTTTTTCTTTTTTATAAAGCTTCTTTTAAGTGGTTGCAACCTACTAAATATGACTATTTGTAAAATAAGTTTAAATTCCGCAAAATCAGGGCTAACAACTTCATATTAACGTAACTTCCTGCACTTTATGACTTGTTTTTTTTTGTGAATAACCAATAATGTAAATTAATCCCAGAAATGTATATACAATTTCCTTTGCACCTGTAAAAAGTCTGAGACACAGTGTTCAGAGGAAGTTTACATTTAGAAGAATTGTGGTTTTATTTATTCAAGTCCTTATATAGGAATTATAGTCAAATAAACAAGAATTAAGTTTTTCACAATAAATTTTAAATAATTATTCATCACTATTTAAATCAGTGTTGGTCCATGCACTTCTACACATAAGCAATATATAAAGTTTTTAGAGTCTATCTGACCGATTTTCATAGGGACCAAATCAAACCCATTGTAGATAAACACATAATTATAGTATCAATTTATGTATCATGATGGAAATTTTGATTAATATATACCTGATCATCCTGCAACACATTTTATATCCTGTGCAGGGTTTTGGCATTCTTTAAGATCTTCACAAAGGATTAACACATTTTTAAATAACTTGTATTTATGAAAAAAATTGTGTTAAAAGATATTAATTCATCTTATATTATCTCTGAGTTTCTTGGACTTTCCAATGTTCTGAGAATGGATCAAACCCGTGAAAACTGTCAAAAAAATCCATTACCAATAAAAATAAACTATCATTAAATGCACCACTTATTTGAAGATTAAGGCAGCTGCATATTGGGAGAAATACTTTTGAAATAAACAGAAGGTTCTTCTTGTGTTGTTAATAACTGACATGGTTTTATTTTAATATCAAGTCCAATTTGGTGGACATATGAGGTTTCTAAATAAAAATTTTTTTTTATTATTGTTAAATTAGTTGTTTTATATTTTTAACCAGTTTTATTGTTAACATGGCAGCACAGTAAAATTGCGTACAGTAGATTACAGCTAAATTTGAATTGTTTAATAAAGACACAGAGCTGAACACAGGTAAATCCAAAAATGTGAACATTCTGAAAATGCTCTTTATTTTTCTGACACTGTGAGAAACTGGTCTCCTCATGTATTATAAATGATTATCTTCCTTATTTTCATTCATTATGTAAATGAAATCACAAACAGTTGAATAACTTTAAACCCTGTCCTAAATAAGATGACCTTGTATAACTGCTGGAAGATAAAAACACTGTTGGATCCATAGATAGATAAACCAGAAGATTCTAATAATAATAATAATGATAAAAATTGGTTGTTTTTCATTTATCAACAATTTTTACCCAAGTGGCATTTTTAAAAATCGAATTAAATTTGGACCATATGTAGGCCTAAACATTAAAGACACATTTTCTAGTTGTCTTAAAAAACAACTGCTGTTGATTTTAACAATTTGAAATAGTCCGCTTGATATTTTTATTTTATGACTATAGAAGCGTCAAAAAATGTAAAGTGTCTGTAATTCTGCTGCTTTATCCATGACAACCACGTTTCTCAGTGTATAGTGGCAATTCATCATTTCTGTCATTAAACGCCTGTGAAACAACTTTTTAATCTTTTATATATTTTTTCTTCCTGGCTAGGTGATTATATATTTTTCGCCTTATTGAGCTTTTATTCTGGAAACTTCCACCAAGAGACGTTCTTCCTTTGACGTCGTCCCCAGATCTTACGTAGTTACGTATGTTGTTTCCACTGTGGCGTAGTGGCTAAAAAAGGCTTAAACGTTACTGTTGGCAACGCTCGCTCTTCTTTGATACTTTGTATATTATTGACGTGAGGTTACACATTCTTTCGTTTTTAATCTGACGTTCACGCTTTATTTCAATTTAGAAGTTTGTTTTATTGTGGTAGTGTCGCCCTAGCCTTTGGGCTAATACACTCCAAAATGGAGGGTAGCGCTAGTGTTAGGAGAGCCTTGTCTGGAACTCTGGTACCAGCAGCGGTCACAACGGTGGCTCTATGTCAGCCTGAAGACAAAGAGAAGGGGAAACTGAAGAGAAAGGTTCTTGATGAAGAGGACTATATTGAGGTAAGTAACTTTAAATAACTTATGTGACAAACATCTATTCAGAAGCCACCTAGCTTCCAATGTAAACATGTCCTTAAAACGTGTTCTTCAACGTATTTTAAACGTTGTGGCTTCCAAACCTACTTTTTATTAGAACATTTATTAGAATCCAATGTTAGATGTGTGAACACGGTGATCTGTTTATAGCTTAACAGGATATATGGTCGTTTATGTATTCTTATGATTTGATATGAGAAGTAAATCTGTTAAAACTCCAAAGGGTTACTCTACTGATCTCTGCTTTAAAAAAATAATTTAATCTTAAATGGTCCACCAGCAGAATATCTTTATTAGATATTAAGTTTGCAAAAAAATATTGAATAAAGTTCTAGGAAAGATGCTCCAATATATAAATCAGGGTGAATGTAAAGCATGTTCATATTCAGATGTATCCTAAATGATTGAGACAACTTTAAGGTTAGTAGCAGGATTCCAATTAATTAAAATGGCATCCTACACTATGAGAAGTAGAACAAGGTATATTAACCCTATTTTTTAAGTACTTCCTTGGATATTCTGTTGGTGCTGTAGTTGTGATGTGACTACTGTCTGTTGCTCCTTTCTGGGGGCTGAATGTAATATAATACCTTTACACCAGTATTAATAAAGTCTTGTAGACAAATGTGAATAATCTCAAAGATGACTCACACTCCTGCATTGACAGTGTGTTGTCAGTCTCCACAATATGACTGGAGCTCATTTATCTACAGGTAAATGCAAACTGTACTCCAGTTTCTCCAATCAAAGAAGCCATGACACCCAGATGTTTGTCAGGGTTCAGTTGTTGCTCATTTCTGGAACAGTAGCGTCCTACTCAAATTGCACTTATTGATATGTCTAAACTCCTCTCCTTTGCCTTCTAATGACTTATAACAATGCCTTTAAAGTTCACATGAAATATCTCAAGCCTAAAAATACATAACTTTGTGTTTTCCAAGTAAATAAGACATACACGTACAACTACTGGTGTCTGTTACATTAGTGGCTACTGCATGTGTGCAAAAAAAAAAAAACTATCTGCCATTGATGTTGTACAGAGTCCCTGTCTTCTTTGTATTAGTTTTAGCCTCTGGATGCTCTCTGTTTTTATCAAAAGGAACATCTGAAATTATAAGAAACAGACAGGTACCTGCCATCTTGCTGCAGGGCCGTCTTTTCTTTGTTGGGTCCCCATGCATATTTGGTTTAAAAAAGGAAAGAAAAAAACGTGCATCATTTTTACAACTCAGTACTACCGACCCCAAAACAATTTAAAAAAACTTTGCTTTAAGAAAACAGTTTTTAGTAATATTGCACTAAGATAGCAGAACTTTATTATCTAACCTTAATTTGAATTTATATTTTTATAATTTGTTCTTGATTTAATGGATTCACTTTTCTTCTTTTCCTTTGGCTGCATTTGACAGAGCTTGGAGAAAATTATCCAAAGGGACTTTTTCCCAGATGTCACCAAACTTCAAGCACAGAAGGAATACCTTGAAGCAGAGGAAAACGGAGACCTTGAGAAGATGAGGGAGATATCTATTCGATACGGATCTTCCTTGAACAAATCTACGCCACACACATCCGCACCTTGTAAGTAGAACATTTAAAGAAATATTTAAATAACATTTGATTTTTATGGTTATTTTTTCATTACAGTAGTGATTTTATTATTCCTTTCTTTTTTTTTATCAAATATGCAAGATGTGACCCCTGCCAGCTTTGAGACGCCGGTTGGTCATGCAGGATCCCCCTCCTCCACTTATTGCAAGAAAAGTTCAGATATAGGTAAGCTAAAGTAGCTCACGTTTAGTTAGCTTCAACTACGCTGAAGTCTGGAAGTAAATTCAGTTGATGTACATGTAAGGTGGATTCATTGACCCATACTTTTGTTTTACTATATTTTATTAGACGGAAAGGATGATGACCAAGGAGAAAAAGAGCTGCCCACTTTAGATCGCTTTCTCGCTAAAAACACCAGTGAAGATAATGCCTCCTTCGAGCAGATAATGGATCTGGCAAAAGACAAAGAGAAACTGAAGCACGCCTGGTTATATGAAGCTGAGGCTGAATTTAAAAAGGTTGGTATTGATTTATTTAGGGTTCCTTTCAAAGTGAATTTATATGGTGCCTAAATTGGACTTTTTTCATGTTTAGAAAACGTGATTTTTGAGTATGGAGGATCTGGACCAACATAGTTATGAGTTTCTGCACTTATCTTGCTGATAACGCTCCGCTTTCCAGACAAAGAGGCTATACAGGATTGATTCATTTAATTCACAGTTAAATTAATAGTCTTTTAGTTTCAGATGCATCACGTGTTTGCCTTTTCTGTATAGCCTATTCTTATTTTTCTCACTTTTTGATTTAATATTTTTTTACATTATCTTCATTTTTACCTTATTTTGAATCCATAAACTTTGATCTCCTTGTCACTTCACTGTTAGACTCTGCCAAGGACAATAATGGGTTATTTCTTTTTGATGCTCCACTAACTTTCCAAGCAGCATTATCACAGTGAAACCCGCGTGTGAAGAATCACATGTTAAAGTTGAAACTACCTCAAAAAATTTACACCACAGCTTCAAAGATGTTACTTTGTGACAGCTTTCATTTGAGCTGCTAGCCTCTGCGTTGATTGTTGCTTAAAGTGTTTTTGTTGGCATAAAACTTTGGTGCTTCTTCTAAATTGGCATTAATCCTTTTTTAAAATGCTGCTACACAAATCACCTGCAGAAAAAAAAACAAATAAACACTCCTTTACAAATGATTTTATAGTTGGAATGAGTTAAAATATTCTGCAGCTGAACTGCATGCTGCTGCTTTTTAATACATGCCCTGGAACTGCATTTCACATAGACATCATCAGTAAGAACCACATAAATTATTACGTTTTGTTTTCAGGAAAAAACCCCCACTTATTTTATGTTTTAATTTAATGATAATTTGATTGCACAAAGAGTTGTAGTTGAGTCATTCTGTATTCCAACCATTTAAGCCCCTTCATTTGATGATAATTTTTAGGTCAGGGTAAAGAGTTGAAGTGTGAAAGTAGCCTTTGATGGTTTGAAAATATTCAAATCATCTCTGATCTTTTATTTATTTATTTTTTTTGCAGCGCCATGAAGAGAACCTAGCCCTCCCCTCAGTGGAGAAAGCTGCTCTTGAATGTGTCAAAGCTGGACTGGAGACGTGGGAGTACAAAGCAAAAAACGCCTTGATGTATTATCCAGAGGGTAGGAACATTAATCTCAAATAATCTTGTGTCGTATCTCTCCCTCGATTTAACATACTTAACCACTATCTTATTTAAATTGTGATGCTTTTATCATTATTTCCTAGGTGTTAAAGACGACGATGCAGTCTTTAAGAAGCCAAGAGAGGTGGTGCACAAAAACACTCGATTTGTTGGAGATCCGTTTAGCAAAGCTCTGAACAAAAGCCAGATTCAGCAGGCTGCAGCCCTCAATGCACAGGTACCTTTACTGCTGCTATGGTGGAATTTAGCCATGGACTGGGATGTAATTGGAATTCTGCGTTTACAACCAACATTCTGTCATTTATTGGGCATTTCGACCTCAAATTTTGCGGCCAAATAGGGACAATGCTTCACTTTGTCATCAAATAGATTTTCCTTCAGAAGTGCCTTAATCCTTTGTGGGTAGATTAAAAAGTAACTGGAAATGTTCCTCAGAGAGTTCGGTCCATATTGACATGACAGGATCACGCACATGCTGCAGATTTGTCGGCTGCACATTCATAATGTGAATCTCCTGTTCTTCCACATCCTGATGGTGCTCTATGGGATGGATATCATGTGACTGTAGTGACTATTTGAGTACAGTAAACTCATGTTCAAGAAACCAGTCTCTGATTATTCACACCATTGCTCCACCAGTCTGTCTGAATTGTTGATGCAAGGCAGCATTCATCCATGCTTTTAACTTTTCAGCACCAAATTCTAAACCTACCCTCCAAATGTCACAGCAGAAATAAAAACTCATCAGAGCAGGCAATGTTTTTGCAGTCTTCTATTGTCCAGTTTGGTGAGCCTATATGCATTGTATCCTCAGTTTCCTGCTCTTCCTGTTCAGGAGTGGCACCCAGTGGTCTTCTGCTGCTGTAGCCCATTCCCCTTTCGATTTGACATCTTCAGAGATGTTGTTCTGCAAACCTCTGTTGTAATCAGTGGATATTTAATACTATAATAACTGTTGTCTTCATATCAGCTCGAACCAGTCTGGCCATTCTCCTCTGACCTCTGCCATCAACAAGGCGTTTCTATCCACAGAACTTCTGCTGACTGGATCATTTCTTTTTGTTTTTGGACCATTCTTTAAACTTTAGACATGGTTGTGCATGAAAATCCCAGTAGATCAGCAGTTTCTGAAACACTCCAACCAGCCCATTTGGCACCAACAACCATGCCATATTCAAAGTCCCTTAAATCGTTGAATGCATAAATTTTGATGGGAGTAACCGGCCTGTGTCAAACAGCTATGTGATTATATTCATGTCTATGCTGGGATATCTTCTTTCCAAATGTTTATTTAGATATCGTGTTTTTTGTAGTTCAAACAAGGAAAAGTGGGTCCTGATGGGAAGGAGCTCATACCTCATGAATCCCCCACAGTGAATGGATACGGTTTTGAGAGGACTCCATCACCTGCACCAGGTGAGTGAGGCTGCAAATTATCCTTGCAAACCAATTAAGATTATTCACTTTTTATCTAACTAATTTCTTTTTGATCAGTCTAAATGATGATCTGTTACTGTTCTGCTGTTTGCTTGAGGCACAGTTTTAGATGGTTTTACTTGAAGCGTTTGTTTAAATGTTTTTTCTTCTTCAGGTGTCGCTGATTCTCCTCTCATGACCTGGGGTGAGATTGAGAGCACGCCGTTCCGTCTGGATGGATCAGACACACCGTATGTTGAGCGGAACCACGGCCCATCGTTCAAGGTTAGAATTGGTGCGCTTTTATGCGTTTTATTATTGGTTTCTCATTTTTAACTTTTAAAATTGTGATTTATTTGTATGTAACAGATTCCAGAGCCAGGAAGACGAGAGAGGCTGGGTTTAAAGATGGCTAATGAAGCTGCTGCTAAAAACCGTGCAAACAAACAGGAGGCACTGAGGAAAGTTACAGAGAACCTTGCGAGGTAATGAGATTCACCTCAGTTATCTTATACAGGAGTTAGCTTTGCCAATTGTTTCCTTTTTCTTGTATTTATGTATTCTTAAAGAAATCCTAAAACTCACCTATTTCTCCATTACAGTCTGACTCCTAAAGGTCTGAGCCCAGCCCTCACACCCGCCTTGCAGCGGCTTGTAAATCGGACTTCGAGCAAATACACAGACAAAGCCCTGCGGGCAAGTTACACACCTTCCCCCTCGCACAGAGTCACCCCGTGCAAGTCTCCCTTCGCCGGACCAGCCACTCCTACAGGAACGCCGACGCCAACCAAAGCAAAGACGCCGAGCGCTCAGGACCTCACATCGCTCACGGACAATCTGCTGCAGCTTCCAAAGAGACGGAAAGCATCTGATTTCTTCTAGGGAAGCTGCTCGCTGTTCAAACTGTGAAAGACTTTTGTTAAAAAAATAAAATAAAAAAAGTAAAATAAAGTGGATATAAAAATGAATAAAGAATTTCAGGTGATGTTATCTGGTCATTTCAACAGCAAATAGGATAACTAGTGTCTCTGAAATTCATCTTGTCTACTTTTTTCAGTTCTTTTTAAAGTAGAAAATCTTATTATGTATTTATTATGATCTTCTGTGTTTGTTGAAACTTACACAAAGATGTGAGATCATACAGCCAAGGCATCAATGTTAGTTTGTTGTATCTGTTACATAGAAATGTAATGAAACACCAGACTGTTGAGTTTTTACAATTTGATATTTTCAGTTCTTAACAAGCATGGACTTGATGGTTTACAGTTAAGGAGTAATTTTACCCAGTGGAGTCTATAGATACATTTTTCTACATAAATAATTGAAATCCACTTTATGAAACTAAATAAATTGCATGACAAGTTTTCTTTTAGGGGTTGGAATTATTAAAAAATGGGATAAATCATAAGGCAAACAGTTCAAAAGCAGAAGAAATGGATCACTCCACAGGTGCAGCCACCCTGAGTAAAAGCATTAAAAAAAAAAGTTATCCTCTGCTTCAATGTATCAACAATGAGCTTTTGCTTTTTTAACGTCCTTTAGTGTCCTCTGGGCCATTTTACTGCAGATTAAGCAAGATTGGGTTTGTGTCCTTTTCCTGTGTAAAGTACTAAATGTTTTATTTGCTTTATTAAAATGCATTCAAGTCTTTATTTACAGGCAAAGAGACATGTATGTCTTTAAAATACAAAAGAACAGGATGTCAGAATGCTATTTAAAGATGTAGATGCTTTTTGATCAACCAAAAATATAGAACATTGAAAACAGTCTCATTAACTGTATTTTATAATTTTGTTTTTGAGGCATTACAATTATAACCCTAGAATAAACAAGCACTTTTTGGATAAAAGATTGCAGCCCAATCTGGCTCTAAGCGACAATATTTATAGTAAATACTTGTGCATTTCTTGGTGGCAAGAGCTGCCCTCTAGTGTTGGCGATAACTGGGTATTAAACTGGATCTTAACTGTGATTTCCATGCAGCCAAAGTGGATTATTTTTGACCATAGCCTATTTGAGATGGTGCCAAATCGTCTCCTTGGTCTTTTAGTCCACACTTTGTCTTTCCACCAAAACAACTTTTTCTTTAACCATTTAGAAGTGGACATGCAGGTGTGTTTGAGATTATTTCTTAATCAGAATACACTAGTTTAAGGCAATTGACTGATAGTCAGATATACTCATTTGAGATTTTCTGGTAGAATAGAAGTCAATACAAATGGTCTTAGCCTTGAAGCAGCATTTTGAAGGCTTTCTGTTCAATTTTAAAGCCCTAAGAATTGCTCTGTAACAATTTCTAGAGTGTGAGGTATAAGTGACTTTGCTTATGTATTCTTATATTTCTATAAACCAAAAACTGATGTTCTAAGCCTACTTAATGTCTCAGTAAGACATATGTATATCAGCCCAGAGTGTTGCTAGTGAAACTAAACTCTGCCTCCAACAGTTTGCAGTTGCGGGTTGGTCTGGATAGTTTTTTTTATCCTCTTAAGAAATACATTCATGATCTCTAATATGCAATTTTATTTGTCTTTGGCAGTTATGTTAAAATTACTTTTAGAATCACACATTAGAACAAAATCATGGAATAAATCTGTTGGAGGCATAATTATTAGTTTTTCTTATATTTGTGTTTTTTTAGTTATCAGTTTTACTCTAATATTTTCACACCGCTGTTGTCATTAGGGGTTAAAGCATTGCAGGGGATGGGGGCAATGTTTTTTTTCATAGCGGAACAAAGAAATAGAAGAAAAAATGGTAAATGTCAACCTTTTGATATAATAAGCTAATCAATGAGCCACTTACAGCTCTGGAAACCTAAAGGATAAAAACTGGGATCCTATCTCAATATCACTGATGTTAAAAGTGCTTTCAAGTGTTAAAAGTGACATAATTTTTAAATCAATAAATTGTTCCAATTCACCTATTAGTTATTTTTGTTTCAGCAAATATAAGTTATTTATCATAAATCTATATGACATTATTGGTACAGGGACCAGATCTGCAGGGCCAATGGCCCCCATCTAGAGCCATGATGAATTATTTTTTGTTTGCTGTGTTTCACTTAAAGTTTCAGTTGCATTCAACACCAAATTTCTCCAATAAAACCTGTCTAATAAAAATACATCTGGGTCGGTCCCCCAATGGGTCCCACCCTCCAACACAACACCGCCTCTGGAAGCCGTGTTGATCCAAGTTGATTATGGCAAGCCATTTTAACATAAATTTGGTTGTTACTGTCAGTTTAATCCAAAGGAGGAAAAGTTAAATCAGCGCGTGACTTTTTAAATGACAAATCCGGTGTCGTAATTTGAGATATCTTTAATTTAAGATATCGCGAATTTTTATTCTTCCTAATCAGAATGTAAATACAGATATCTTAAATTACCATTCCGGATAGTCAAAATGTGGTTTTGTCTAGTCAAAATGTATTTTAAGATATGTAGAACGTGGATGGGCAGACGAAACCGAATTTATGTTAAATGGCTTGCCATAAGTTGTAAGGCTCCACCCGGGCCGCTCTCATCCACAGACTCCGCCCCCGGCAGCCTCTCCAGCTGACAGTCTGCCTGTGAACCGAGCTCCGCCGAATGTTTGGAATTGTTGTGATGGAAGGCCGCGGCCATCTTGGATGAGCGCCGCTCCGCATCGAGCACCAACGGTCGACGGTAACGGCCGAGCAGCCAGCTAGCTAACCTAGAGAGATTAACTTCAACCTGTTTCTCCTCGAATGCGACTATGCTTTATTTTCGCTGTTTTCTGTAGTCAGTCGTTGCGCGCACAAAATGGGAAGCAGTAGTTTTAAAGGCTTTGCGCCTATAATTTAGTATAGGGCAGAGGCGTTGCTGGTCCTCGGTATATTTTTACATTTCTGAATTGAGGAGTTACTATGAATGGAGGATAAATGTTGCCAAAGGCTGACAGCAGCAGTTTCGTCCTCCTCTTCTCTCTTCTCTTCGTCCTCACGCTTACGGACCCACCACGGACAGGTAAATAAAGCTAAGATTGTTAGTTTTATTTATTTAATTGTGTGTCTGTGTTGCTGTTCAGTTTTCCTCCACCAAATGAAGTGGGAGAAACTGATTTCCAGTCGCAGCGGCCTGTTGGTCAGACCTGGGACTCTGGTAGATTTCATCCCGACTCCCTGCTGCTGTTGGTGGGGAGAAGGACCAGCTAGCTGTGTTGTTCTCTAAAACTAGGCCGGTTGTAACAGGAAAATTCAACTGCAATCACATTTATGTTATATTTTTTAACCCAACATGGCTAACTTCAACGAGTTATGTTTTAATTTCTTTTATTAATAGCGCACATCCATAATGTATGAACTTCAAAGCCTGGTTCACAGTTAATATCATATCTACAGTTCCAGATTGGGCTTTTAATCTAATATATTTACCTTCCTGCATCTCCAAACCTGGCTCATATTCATCTCCAGCATCAAACACACCAGACTAGAAATACTAAAATAATGTAGCTTTCTGTTAAGATGATTTGGAGAAGCTTAAAACCTTTTATTACAGCTTTAAAATTAAAGCACCATCATTAAGAGCATACTCCCCCACCATTAAAGTGAATACTTCCCTATTATTCTCTGTCTAGACATGTGTCTCTTCAACAAGAAGTGGATCAATGCTGCTTTTTTTTTTTTCAACCCAAACACTGTTGATGCTCTGAATGAACACCTTAATGAAGCTTTGTGAGCATCAGTGGAGGACAGATGCATCTTGTGGTTTTCTCCAAGCTTGGTCTTGTGATCCCGCTAATTGTGTGGATTAGAGGACCTGTTTTCAGTGGAGCTCCTGGATAAATGCATTATTCCTTGGCTCTGACCCGACCTCCTAAACATTGTCCACCTTTGGTGTGGCTTTTTTAAATTTAATTGTATTAGTATACGATTATTTTTAAGTCTTTAATCAGATGAGGCTCTAAAGGGTCAAAATATGGGTCATGGTGTTGCTGTTCTACTTCTATGGCTTTAGACCTTAATGTGAAGGTCATTTTTGTGCAGATTTCAGCATATCTCTTAACCCTCTGAAAACATTGCCTAGGGTTCACAAAGTGCATGTTTTGAAACTGCTGGGTCATTTCTAAGCCATTTAAAAAAAGAATACTGCTACTCATTTATAATTTAGAAGTGTAAGAACATTTCTAGGGCCTGTTTTAATTTAAAGGATTTTATTTGGCATACTTTTTTTTGACTCACCCCAAATGTAAAACTATGGCAAATAACATCCTCACTTTTACACGTTTTTTACAATTTAATGAACAAAGACAAAAAGTTGAGCTTACATTTCAGTTGTGTAAATTTATAATACTACTTTCATGAGTCTGGCTTAGAAAAGACGATGAGATTTAAAAGGCTTTTTTTTGTGGGTGGGATAAACAAACACCTCATGCATGCACATCGTGCATAACACTTTCACAATATGGTGCAATATAATGCAAGATTGTGGTAGGATTTGGTCAACATCATGAGGCTCTCTTGAGTCTCCTTGGTTGGTTTATTTTTTTTATGACCTCTGGTTTTGCTTTGGTAGGGTATGGAGTTTTAGCAATAAACTGTGGCTGGCCGAAATACTTCTGCTCGGGTGTAAAGTTGGAGACCTAAATAAAGTATTGCAACATAGCAGAGCAAAGTTTGAACAGACAGAAACTGCCCTAGGCCACCATATCTATTTAATAAACCATCCGCAGAACTTTTATGTAGAACTAAAAGGCAAACTTAAGTGAGGCTCTATAAAATCTGTTCTATTTTTCCACCAAATTCCAATTTTTGAAATTTTATTTTTCCACATTTTCTCTTACCCATATTTATTAACCTGCCTTCTTTTTTTTATTAAACACAAAAACACAATATGCAAAATAAACTTGCGCCTCGCTTCCGTTTGCCGAGTTGGGAGCATCTGTATTGTTAGTGTGTCTAATGAGCGATAAAGTTTTACATGATCGATTTAAAAAAGAAAAATGAAAAAAATCTGTGTATGTTGAACAAAGTAACTGCAAGACCATAAAGTAAAGGGGGAGAGCAGGGTAGCGCTGTGGCTAGCTTTACTCAGTAGCTAACAGGTTAGCCTATTTTAGCTCGCTCACTTAGCCATATTAAGCTACACTACTTTTAAATTTGTGTCAACAACAACCATTTGTTTTCTACAAGTATACTTCTTTGTTTCTCTAAAATCTCTATGAAAGTAATTTTTCAAGATGTCCCATTTGTCCTCCCCTGCTCTCAAATCTTAATAAAAAGAATAAAAATAAGCTAAGACTTTTTTTGTCGCCTTGTTAAATGGCAGAGCTCAGTATTAGAATGCAGTACTTTCCTTCAAGACTGACAATGATTGTTTTCTACTTTCAGCTACTTTAGATCGCCAATGAAATGTAAAATAATAGCAAATATATGTTATAATATTTTGAGATTTCAAAAGAGATTTGATTCTTAACAAACTGGTGCAATACAGTTTGTCCGAATAGAGACCAGATCTGGTACCTACACCGTAACCACTATATAGTGCCCTACATAGTGGTTAGGGCAGACATTCAGACATAGCCTAGACGAGCAGATGTATCCCGGAATGCTTTGTATCATCGCAAAGCATTATGGGATTTTCTGTCAAAGCAGCCTGCTGTCGCTACCCGACGGGGGCGACTAATAACAAAGATGGCGCAGGCACTACCGGATGGAGTTACGTGACCAACGGGGAGCTAAAAGTAGTGATCATCTGTCTGAATGGTCAGTTAACTGAGTTGCTTATAAAGTCCATTTTATAGTCCCCGATCTATACAGTGATTTAGGGGATAGGGCGGACAGTTGGACACAGCCTAAGTGGTGATCACATGTTTTCTTGTGTTCAGTCGATCATTTGATAACAAAACAAAATAATAGGCCTCTATTTTGCTTATATAATGGAACAGAAGAGTGGTTTTGGTTTCTGGTGTATCCATACCTGTGAAGTTTAGTCTAGTATAAACTTTGGTCCACCCCTCGATTTGGACTTTTCATGCTGGTGTTAATGAGCTCAAGCAAACTCTGTCTGGACCAAAGATTCAGACCAAGACCTACTTTTTGAAGTGCAAACGTTCACTTTGAACCAGACTTTGGGGAAGATTGCATCTGGTGTTGCCAGAACCAGCAGCATGGCTTCTCTGACAATGTTCCAAATTAGAAATAAGACCTGAATTTGGAGCTGTAAAAACGACACAGATATGTAGAACAGAGGCCCTACGCACAGGTTTCAGGTTTTCAGGATCTGTGCTCCTAGCTGTGTTTTTCCAATAGAAGAAACAATCACAAGTTTGATTATTTTCTTTTTTTTGTTTGTTTGTGAGTAGTAGTTTACTTGCTTTAAGTAAAATCTGAAAGAGAAGTTCAACAAACAAGAAAAAAGTCAGCTTTCGGTCTGGAACGATCAAGCGCACCACCCTTAAACACCCTTAGTCCAGGACAAATTGCAACACTTAGTTTACTTAACAGCGTTATGTAAGAAATTGCAAAGCCTGTTCATTTATTGTACATACAAAATATGAAACTAAATATTTGATCCTGTTAATATTTGTTAGGATTTATTATTTACTTTCATAGGAAGCTGTAAAACATTCCTCATCCTCTAAATATTCCAGGTTTGGGTTAACAACTTTTCAGCAATTAAAAAAAAAAACTTGCATGCCCTGTTTGGCTAATTGGAATGTAAAAAATGTATGGGAAGTAAAAAAAAAAAAAAAAAGATTTTATTGACACATTTCTGAAAAACATGAAGTGATAATGACATCTGAGTTAAATATAATTTTATGCATTTAGCAGTTTCGATTGTTACTACCCCTCTGTTTGCACGGACTGTGCAACATTTCCTTATAAAAAGAGGTAGTTCTCCATCACTACCTACCATTTTTAAGTGCTACATTTGTCACATAAGAAGTGAAACTGTGAATTCTGTCTGTGAAGAAAAAAAAAGAGAAAAGATTGACTTCTTGTTAGTCCATTAAAACAGCAAAAGCGGTAATCAGTTTTTCAATGCGAAAACTGTTTACTTTAGTTAGTTTTTGAGGAAATTTGACCCGGAGAGCTTTTGTCTGCCAAGGGATGGTTTTAAATGTGAGGAGGTTGAAAGGAAAATAATTGCCTGTTCCCACTCACTGCTTTTAACAGCAAACCTCCAAGTTGAATCATCGCTGCCAGAGACAGTTCAGCTCCTGTGCATTGCAGCATCACTGTTCTGTTTGTTGGACGGATGTTGGGACGTTCTTAAAAGGAATTATTGTATGTTCCTCTTGTTACACAAGACACTATAAACTGTCTACACATCAGAAAATGCCGATGTCAAAAATCTTTCTCAAACAGCAGCTATTTACTTTGAAATCTAAACAGCTGGTTCATGGAATATAGAAAGAGAATCAGGTTTTAGTTTTATTCTCAGAATGTTTACAGCTGCAGTGTTTTTTTGTGCTTTTTATGACTGTCTTGCAAATGTTGTTAATTTGTTTTATTTGGAGTTGAACCGCTAGGCTAGTTCTGTCATGTTTCCTCTCCGCTCAGTCACTTGTTCATAATTCGGCTTCCAAACAAACTTCTGTGAAGTACCAGACATTCTTCCTCCTGATTCATGAACCCAGTGCTTTTGGACTTCATAAAATTTCATGACTGCTGTTCCAGCTGGGTTCTGTGCTAATCACTACCCGAGACAGGTGGTCTTGGTTGTTTTTCAACCAGCAGTTCAGGCCTTTTCACATTTAAAGTTAAATCAGCCGAGAAAACCTCTTTTTCACTGTCAGATGTAGAGATTGGGGAAAATAAACAAAACGTTGAGATAGTTTAACAAAATTGACCTATATCTAATTTTGTAAGCTTTGCACATGACAATAAAGATTTTGTTTTTTAAACGCCCTCCATCTTTACCTCACTAATAAACAAATTTACAAACATTTTTTGAAGGCTTTAAACAATTGATTTATCAGACAATAGAGTGATGAGCTTTATAGTTTTAGTTCATTATAAAGGGCTTGGTGCATTAGGGCTGCATGGTATAAAACAAAAAAACTTGCTAAAGATATTTAATTTTGCGATATTATTTTGGTAGTTATTAACCCATAATTGTCCTTTCTTCATGTTTCTCTCATCACAATGCAAAGTTATTATCATCTTCATAAAGTATCAGCATTAAGGGCATGAATCCATCTTACTACACTATAGCATATATGTGCTTCAAATATCATTGCCTTTTAGATATCTCACTAAATTTTGTAGTTTCTTAACAGATCGAATTTTAATTTTTTCCCCTCACAAATCCTTTTAATCCAGCCACCAGTTTTTTTTTCTTTCATCTAACATCGCTTTATTGTCAAATATGTCAATTTTCTCATTTCTGAATTGCGGTTAATTAACAACCATCAGTAATCATCCTCTCTGTAATGAAACCCCGAGCAAACAACGTCTCAAACAGCTTCAGGCTAAAGTCATTTCAGATACTCCGTTTCTATTTCGAGAGAAATCAGATTGTGGGGAGGCATAATCATTAGGAAGCGCTTTAGAACGGGAACATAGTAGATTGGTGATAATCAGAGCTGGACATTAATATCTGATAACATTAAGCTGCTGTGGGATCTGATTAAATTCAGTACTTCTGCAGTTGTCAGCTGCACAGTTATCAAAAATGCATCAGATATATGAATAATGATGCATGCAGGCAGCCTTGGATCTCATGCAGCATTAAATGTGCATTTATATTGTGATGTAGGAACAACAACATATTGCCAAGGCATAAAGAGCCAGCTGCATTTCTACCTAAAGACCTAAATATTAATACTCCTCCTCAGTGATGTATATTTATATCCATGGCTTTTAATGCTATCCATTCTTGTGGGTCATAATGGGTTCAGACCCTAGAAACCAACAAAACCTTGAAGCACTTGGAGCACATCTCAGTTCACTTAGTATGACTAAAAATAGGATGGTAGCTGAGTGATCCTCAATGGCTTTTAACAGAGAAGAATGTATTGTTTCTAGGGTTTTGTAGCGTCTCCATTCACTTAAAACACAGTCTTTAAATTAACCTGCTGTTCAGACATGATTGTTTTGCAAAACTAGATCAACATTGGTATATTTGATCCAGTGTTCTTATTGGACATTTTTGAATATTCATTTTAAAGAAATAATCATAATTTTGTATAATCAGGAATGGGTTTAAGAAGATAGTTAATTGTGTGTTTTCATTCAAGATAATCTGTTAGTATAATTAGGTTTGTTATGGTCAGCTGATTTGAAGGTAAAATTGAACCAGTCCAATAAGCCAGATAGTCACATCATTGTTTTTATTTATTCCAGGTCCACGGCTAGCTCTGGCAAGATTATTGTCAGGTAAGAAGGCGTTATTTGTTTTTGTTTTTTTTAGGAAGCACCAGTAAGAAAACTTGTTTTATGTAAAGATAACTTCTAATCATTCTTTTTTTAACAAGGGAGATTTTCAAAAGTGTTTTTTGAAGGGTTACCTTTCATAAAAATAGTTTTCGTACAGCCCAACTAACTGTTAATGTTTTGATTTCCAAAGCTGAATAATAGAGCTCAGTAAAGGTTGGAGGAGGATGATTCAGTGCCTTTCGTCGTTATGAAATCTTTTCAACTGAAGGCCTTTACTTAGAACTTGACGACGCTACACAAACAGTGCTGTTGTTCTCCTTTGGTGACGTGGTCTTTTTACAGTGAGATAAATTACTCTTTGAAATGGATTTGTCTGAACAAGCTGTTTGAGATGGACCAGCGGCGTCTTTAAATATGAGCTGGCAAGATCAGATATTGTCTGCTGATTGGAGAATCTTTCATTTATTATCATTCATTTATTGGAGAAGGTAAAAAAAGGAGTGCAGTTAAAATCTTTAAAGCTTCTGATACAGTTTGCCCCTCTCTTGATGCTGGTTTATCTTAAATGGGAACAGTATTTGCATCCATTCCAACCACAATCATCATAATCTATGATTTCAAACACTTAATCTGCATATTTTAGATCTCCCCCTGTGTTTTATTTGTAAGGAAAGAAACGTTTGACCCGACTAATGGCCTTATGTTTCAGAGCAACGCTGCAACCCTGGGCAGTTCGCCTGCCGCAGTGGGAAGATGCAGTGTATTCCCATGTCCTGGCAGTGTGACGGCTGGACAGCATGCGAGGACAAAAGTGATGAGATGGACTGTCCCCGTAAGTAAAACTCACCTACAGCCTCCATCGTTCTAACGACTTTGATCGATTTCTCAAAAGCCCTGCAGCATGCACAATATTTTACACTTGAAGGTACAAATCGTATGCAAGCAGCTTTTAAAAACAGGAATGAGATTCAGAACGACTCGGGACTTATAGTGTTTAAAGGCAAGATTTTTTGTCATGTTTTTTTTTTTTTTCACCATTAGGCTGATCCCCTCCACAGTGTTTAGATGTTACAGAGCTAAGCCTGTTGACCAAAATCCCATTGTTTTCCCCATAAATCCTGAAGTCTTACCGGATCCCTGACGGCATAGTGGGAATTATTGAAAGGATTGAGTTCAACATGTGACCTCCATAAAGGAGTAGCTATTCAAGCTTCGAGTTAATGCTTTGGCTGTACAGCTGATTAAGGTATCACACTGGCCCCCTCTCATTCCTTCGAAAGGCCAAATGTATTAAACAGGCACCAACGCTGGCTGCAAAGGTTAAAGAGATCACATCTTTTGTTTTTTGAATAGGTTCTGGCTGTCATGTTTAATGCTTCTTCCTGTTTGATTACATGTTTAGAACTGTTTATAAAGAGCCCTCTGGGATCTGTGCTGCAACGCGCTGTGGTTATGTTGCTGGCCACATTTGGGTCATTTGTCTATTCTGATGTTGGATCATCCTTTTCTCTTTTTCAGACATTTAGAAGCACATTTATGAGGTCAGACACCAATGTTGAACGAGAAAGCCTGGCTCTCCATCTCTGCTCTAATTTTAAAATGTGTGGTCGGGTTGAACTCTAACTTGATGTATTTGTGGAACTTTCATTGACTCTTGTGTAATCTGCTGAACGGGGCCGTCACCTCAGGATTGTTTACATAAAACCGACATAATGTTTGCATACTTTGTATGCTGCTAAATAATAACACCTTTACTTTTCTGGAACTAAAGGGACTGAATATAAACAATTTGTCCTCTCTACATGTTCCTCGTGGCACGATGTAGTCAGATAGAGCAGCTAAAACCCAGATCAAATTGGATTTCCAGTTAGTGAGACACGATTCATCACCCCTGAGAATATTTCCTCACTTCTCTGGAGCTTGGTTCAATGCTTCATATCATTTCACACAAAGCTGTGTGTTGCACCTGATGATGTAACGCTTGAATGCAGCTTGTCTGTCATGGAAACGGCTTCCATGAATCTCTAACTGCACTGTTCTTTAGCTAATCTAAAGGCCACATGAAGTGCTGAAGGTTGTAGCTGCTGGAAATACAGAAAGTTGGAGACCTTTGATTGGCTGCTCAGCACTGACGTTATAGGTTTGTTACTGCCACGTCTGAACAGAGAGACCAGACTGTTGGAGTAAAGCTGCTAGACAAAGCAAAGTGAGAAGAAACTAACTTGTCTCATCATCAGAAATGACCTCCATGCTTAACAGACACCTCCTCTTATTTACACTGACCTTCTCTTTTCAGCTGCTGGCAGAAGCTCCTGTTCTTTGACCTTTAGCTCACTGAAAAGTAATCGTAATTCATCTGCTCTCTTCTACTGTGCACATCCTTGTTTTTTTTGTTTTTTTTTTGGTTTTTTATTATTTTCTTCCCCCCACCTGCATCAAGAAGCATTATGTTTAGGTCTCAGTTCCCTGGCCTTGTTGCAGGAGCAGCATTTGTTGTGTGCAGACAATGCCAGAGTTCTTCCGTCTGTCCAGATCTTAATCTCATTAAACTCTTAATCATTCTCAGAAGAGGCTAAAATCTGCAAAGCTTTCCAGCCACTCTTGATCTTTTAACTAAGAGATTTTGGGTTTGAATGTATGAATATCCTCTTCTGGTTTCAAAGAACATTTGCATTGCAACCAAATGCAGTTAACTGATAGTTAAAATGTTCTCTCAGTCTTAAAGGAGGAAAGGTTTCGATTTGAGGACGGATACGAGCAGGTAGAAGATGCTATGGGTGTTGCTCAGCCAGTGCGCTTCAACAGTAAGTATCTAACTTTGCTTTCAGGATGTGAGCATTGATGTAGTTTTATCCTGTGCAGCCGTCTAAACCTTGACCCCTGCTTACAGAGAAATGCCCCAGCGGGTGGCATCACTACGATAAGACAGCCAGCTGCTACAAAGTCTACCTGAAGAATGAGAACTACTGGCAGGCTGTGGATACGTGCCAGAAGGTTAACGGCTCTCTGGCTACGTTCGTAACCAGTGAGGAGCTGCAGTTCATACTGAAGATCGAAGTGGATTCTGATGACAAAGTGTGTGAGCGCAGAGACCAGTGCAAGTAAGTGTTTGATCAGTATTTTTATTTTAAATGGCTTTTAATTTTACAAACCATGATGCTCTGCCTTCACCAACAGATTTGGCTTTTTTTATTGTAAACAAAAATGTGCAGTGATTCTTAAAGGGATCATAATGATAGCATGCCATCTAGTGGTGAATATGTGCCAGTTCATGAACTCAGACATGAATTCTTCATACAGTGATATTTATTTTTTCCATTTTCAGGTTCTGGGTAGGCTATCAGTATGTGATCACCAATCGAAGTCACACCCTGGAGGGCCGCTGGGAAGTAGCATATAAAGGTAGCAAAATGAAAGATGAGCTGTATTGACTCTGCGCACCAATCTGAACTGAGTAGTAACACGTATTGTTTCTTAACAGGGTCAATGCAGGTGTTTTTACCACCTGAAGGCTTAAAGAAGTTTGGGGAGACGTCTCCCTCCCAGGATAATGTCTTCTGCGCCCAGCTGCAACGCTTTCAGATCAGGAGCATGAATGAACGAGGCCTGCACAGCTGGCACGCTGAAAACTGCTACAAGAAGTTCCCCTTCCTGTGCAAGAGGAGTAGGAGCTCTCTCTGTTTACTTTTTTTTTTAATGTTCCTGATATGTCAATAATTGGTCGTTTAACTGATGTTGTGTTTTTTCCTCTCCTCCACAGGGCAGACATGCGTTGACATAAAAGACAATGTCGTAAACGAGGGCTACTACTTCACCCCGAAGGGAGACGACCCGTGTTTGAGCTGCACATGTCATGACGGCGAGCCAGAGATGTGTGTGGCGGCGCTGTGTGAGCGACCGCAAGGCTGCAATCACTTTCAAAAGGACCCCAAGGAGTGCTGCAAGTTCACCTGCCTAGATCCCGGTACAGTCCCAGTTCGGCCTCATATCATCGAGTTATTTAACCCGGCTTACCCTTGTTGTTGGGTCATATTGCTTATTATTGTAAAATAAAAAATAGAGCACTGATGTACATTCTTTAAGCAATTATTAATTAGAGGGATGTTGCTTGATTTTTGTGCATGAGTGAAAAAAAATCTAATTTAGAGCTTTTTTTGTTTGTTTTATCCCCTTCAGATGGAAGCAGTCTGTTTGATTCGATGGCTAGTGGGATGAGGCTGATCGTCAGCTGCATCTCATCCTTTCTCATCCTGTTGCTGCTGCTCTTCATGGTGCACAGACTGCGTCAGAGAAGACGTGAACGCATCGAAACTCTGATCGGTGGAAACTGTAAGCATATGAGTTATAAAGTGGGATTTTTGTTTTCAGACGAATTATGAAAATTCTGTGATTAAATTCCAGCCTGATAGAGGAGGAAGATGCTAAAGATCACCCAGTGTTTTGGAGAACTGATGATGAAAGATAATAGAATTTTCTTTAGTTTATTCCAACTAATTTGATCACAGTATTGCCATTAGAAGAGTGCTATAATATCATGAAAAACAAGCTTTTCCTGTTTTAAATGGTGTCTTCTATCTCCGTGGTTTCTCTGATTTTGTTTTATAAAAGCTTTAGTGATGCTGGCATTTGCTAAGTTAATTTATTTTTTTATCCCTAATAGCCTAAAAGCTCAAAGTTTGCCTCTCTAACCTAGTCTCTTTATTTCGAGGGGGGATTGAAACTGTTTATTGTTTTTCTAAATAAATAAAATTGTTTGTGATTTTGTTGTTGTTTACCTATAAAAATAGTTTGATTCACCAGTTGAATAAAACTTGTCAAATAATATCATTTAACCTTTTTTTTATTATAACTAAAGATGGGTAAGATAGGTTGAAAAGCAATAAATCCATAGGCTATATTCACAAATGATATACTAAAAATGGAAGCTATTAATATCAGAATTTATTTATTAATTATAAAGTCTTTTCTTGCAGTGCAAGAATACATTATAATAATTATCTAATTAACAATTATCTCATATTAGATCATTTTTATTTGATGTGATACATCTGTGTCTTAAAATAAGATATTTGTCTGGAATTTAAGTAGCTTGAACCAGCAGAAACATCTCAGCTCTTAACAACTGTCTGACTGTGGTGCATTCACTGATCTGCAAATTGCTTGTTTTTTAGGATATTTTGTATCTGTCTGTTCTGACTGCTCCCCTCTTTCTAATCAGGGCAGTAACATTTCCCTTTCCTCTGTTTCTGCACTCCTGCATGCCCTCAGTGCACCACTTCAACCTAGGACGACGAGTTCCAGGCTTCGACTACGGCCCTGATGCCTTTGGAACTGGTCTCACTCCTCTGCATCTGTCTGACGATGGAGAGGGCGGCGCTTTCCATTTCCAGGAGCCTCCCCCGCCGTACGCAGCCTATAAATACCCCGACATCCAGCACCCGGATGATCCCCCCCCACCATACGAAGCCTCCATCAACCCAGACACCTTCCTCTACGTGGACTTCGGTATGGGCAACAACCTCTTGTTTTTCAACCAGGTTGTCATGTAAACTGTTGAGCTCTTATCTTCTCTGCTCTTCGTTGTCGCCTCCAGGACACAGCGGGGTTTCCATGGTGCCGAGCCAGATGAACACTATGGGGGACGGGCTGGAGGCCGACCTTCCCACCTCCCCTTGTCCAGTGCCAGATTCTGTGCCATCGTCTCAAGAGAGGGAGGACTCCATAGATAGCAGCACGCTCCTGGTGGGACCTGACACACCAACAGATGGCCACAGCCCCGCTTCTCTGCCCTCAGACTGCACCTCCTCTCTCAGCACTGTTGTATAGGAGCCACAGAGGGAGGGATATCAGGAGTTAGAACTGCAGGCTGTCGATGTCGGCTTCAGGGAGTAGACCTATAGTTTGTATAGACGTACGAGAAGGAGCAGCTGACGCCTCCTTGCAGCGGGGCGTTTTTTTTTTTTTTCTGAAGACATTTCAGCTGTTTGTTCTTTGTTTTTGAAGTCGCTGGCATCTGAGGGAGCAACCCGATAACTCGACGGCTGCACTTATTTTTGTGCAGACTAGGAAAAAAAAGCTAAGAAGCAGCTAAATTGGGTGAGAGCTCCCTGAGGATCAGACTTTATAGAGCCAATGTTTTAGTCCAGCAAAGAGAGAAAACGACAAACCCAACTTGTGTTGCTTTGTGCGCTTTTTGTTGGCGTCACAGTTTGAAACTGCAGCATCTTTATTGATCTCCAAGCTACTATAACATCCACTCCTTTCTGCCGCAGCATGACCCAGAGCTGATTAAAACCTTCTGCTCCCCCCCTTCATTTTTACAATCTGACCTAAGCAGCTGTCTTCCAGATTTATAGCGCAGATTTGCAGAACCAGATATTTTTTAGCTCAGAGATTAACTTTAAGGAGGCTGTTGGTAGTTGGGTTTTTATCGGGTTATGCTGGGGGAAAAAAAAAAAAGCTTTAGATATCAGAAGAATGGTGATGCTGATAATCAGTTTGGTGTTGTGTTCTGTTTGGTCTTAATTTATGACTGCAGTTTGATTATTTTGGTTGATTGTTGGAAACATGTAAGCTGATTTAGACTTTGATCAATGATGCAATGTAGAGATGGTTACAGATTAAATATTAAAGCATTTGAGTTTATAGAAAGGGAAAATCGCATGTTAGTAGGGCTGGGCGATATGACCTCAAATCGATATCACGATAAATTGGACAATTTTACCTTGATAACGATAAATGCTCCTGCTCTCTGAAAATAATGGCAGGTGTAGGAAATGCAACTGATCTATTTTTCATGTATTTATTGACCAAACCAGGTTACATTTAAATTGAAATAAACATAAAGTCTTGTAAACATTAAAGTTCAAACTTTCAACAATGTCTCATTGAACAGGAGAAAAATGTTACCTCTCGGAAATATTTTTGTGCAAAGGTAATGGAGCCTTTTGCACGTCCTCAAACTCAACAGTGTGGTTTTGCTGTAGGTGGTGTCACTTTGGGTAGTTTTGGGTAGCATTTCGCATATTCTTTTGCTCTACATCTACTATGGAACACAAAATATTTACAAATTACAGACGTCAGAATTTTTTTTGGGAACCAATACGACAGGATTAACTGATATTATTTCGTTTACGGCTGTGTTAGCCACTTCTTAACTGGAAACCTCCAGTAGAACCAGACTCTGTGTGAGCGGCCATCTGCCGAGGCCGACTGGGGTTCAAGGAGACAGAAGCAGAGATACAAAAGGCAGCTATAAACCAGCTCCACAGGTGTCCAGGTGTGTCCAGGAAACACACAGCCAGGCAGACAAGCTCCGGGTCAGCCCCCACGTCAGAGGACAAAGAGAGCCCATCCAACCAGTCACAATGAGAGAAACGGGACTACACTGAAAAACAGGCCAAGCTCCAACATCTATGAACAAAGGTGTTGATGGCAGCAGCACAGCTGTTATTTCTCTCCAGTATGGTGTCTCAGCCAAACAGGAACAGACCAGATAAAGCTACCATGAGAAAAAGCAGAAAGATCAGTATGTTAGAGATCGAACTAACAAATACTGCAGAATGGGAGAATAGAGATTGAATGTAGCAGAATGATGAAATAGGGGTCCCTATGTCCTCCAGCAGTCTAAGCCTATAGCATCATGACTATAAAGAAGCTCAGGATAACCTAAGCCACTTTTAAATATAAGCAATCAAAAAGTAAAGTTGCAAGCCTTGCCTTAAAAGTAGACCGGGTGTCTGCCTAACAGACTAAAACTGGTATTTGGTTCCACAGGAGCCTGATAACTAAAAGGTTTGCCTCCCATTTTGCTTTTAGAAATTCTAGGAACCACTAGTAAACCTGCGGATTGAGAGCGAAGTGCTCTTTCAGGGACATTAGGAACAATCTGATCTGATGTAAGATGGAGCTTGGCCATTTAAGGCTTCATTTTATTACACACACGCTGCTGTGTCTTAAAGGGGAATGGAAATATCAGCCACCCTTGAACACAGGAAAAACAGCAGAATTAAGTTTATTTCACCAACATAGGAAAATTGTCGCCGGTTATCATAGAGAATGACGGCAGCGGTAAAAATCCGGTTTATCGCTTAGCCCTACTTGTTAGCATATAAATGATGTATTATATGTTGTTGAACTGTTTCATTACTCTGTACAGTCTTCACGTTTTGATTTGTGAGGGAAAACTTCTTTATTGTCACGGATGCTGCCTCTCCCTCCCAGGCTGTGCCAACCAGGCATGGACTAGCAAAAGAAATTATGTACAAATCTGAAATAAAATTTCAGCCTGCAACAAGGTCTAATTGCTTTACTTAAAAATATAACCCTGTTGTTGATAAAACACGAATAATAAAATAGTTGTTTTCTTCAGTCAGAAACGGATTGAATGAAATCTACATTGAGTTTCTGATTGTTCACAAGGTTCCTTTGAAGCCTTTAAATCTGGATATATTGTTTTTTTTTTTTATTATTCCAAGTCTGGATGAGTTTGGGAAACATTTATTGACCCAGATTGTCCTTCAGCATATTGTCTAAAAGATAAAAGTTGAAATTTGACTCGGCATAAGACTCGAAATAATCTCATTCAGAAATGGGGACAATGGAGACAGTCAAAACTTTCTCACCTCAACTTTGAATGTGAAAATCAAACAAAAGCTTTGATCCAAATTTGAAAAAAATCAGTAGTATTATACTAATAAATGCACAGTAAAAAAAAAAAAAAATCAAAGCTTGATCAGGGTCCAAAGAAAATGTATTGAAGTATACCACCTGCTCAATCAGAAACCAACTTCAGTGTTTGTTTGTTTTTTGGCATCTTTGCAAATAATAAATCACAATAGGCTCTATCTGTGCTTCAAAGTTATTAAAACTGTTTGGAGAAAAAAAAAAAAAAAATTCACTAATGTCATCCGGTTCGTCTGTCTGGTCAGTCTGCTGCTTTACAGATGGTTGCCAAATTCAGTTTAAATAGAAATGTTTAGAAACCGCTGGATTTTTTTTTCTAACATTCTAATGAGAATTATATAAACATTAAAATCAGCCAAGCAGGTGTCAGATGGGGGGGTGTCAAAGTAAATCTCATCCTGTCCAGCCCATGCCTAGATTGAACATCTACGCAGTAGATCTGTGTGTGCAGCTATGGAAGGCATCACAAGCAGAGGGAGAGGATGTTTCTGCCAAACTTCTGCTGTTTTTTGTTGTTGTTTTTTTTTCTTACTGATCAGTTTTTCTTTAATGATGTATAAAAAAAAATGTAGAAAGAAAGATATCAGTTTGTCTTTTCCTTTGATGAAGCTAGAATTTTTGTGGATCGGATTTGGAGAGGTTCCTCCTCCACCAGCAGCAACAGCATCCAAACTATGATCCAGCCCCCCTCCTCAAACAATAGCTTAAAGTATCTCTGACTGAACATCTCCTGTTTGAATGTACTGAATATATAAAACATGACTTTTTGTGCTCATCTTTACACTCACTTATTTTTTTTAATCCATGCATTGACAATCCACAATGGATTCTCCAGCAGACAAAATCCTGTTTTCATACGCTGTTAAAAGTGAGCATGTGTGTTTTTAAAGAGATGCTGTTCAGTTCTGTTTGCACCATCTTTGTTTTCCTTCTTGTTTTATGTACCTTTTGGTGCATGTATTTTTTTTTTATGTGCTGGCATGCTGAGAGATATTTTTTAGCACAATAGTGTACAGTAGCTCTAAAGGCTCATACATTTAGCTTAACGTTTTTGTATGGACTTTAAATCAGCTCTCCACACAAACTGATTTAATTTACTCTGTAGTTTCTGTGCTTGTCTCTTTTTCAGGGGGTTTAAACTGTAATGCAACTTATGCTACATTTCATTGTCTCATACTTGACAGCTCTTAAATTAAAAACTGGGGAAAAAATTGCAGGAACTTGTGTTTTTTTTTTTTTCCTTTTTGACATGGATCTACGTCTAATCTGCATCTGCGAAATGCGAGAGCACAATCCAAACTTTATGCTAGGCCTGTTCACTCGACATTTATCCTCTTTATTTTTTTTTTTCTTCCTTGTCAAGGAAATCCCTCCACCTGCAGTGACCAAATGTCAAAGAGATTTAAGGTGGAATGCATGGAAATCCCCCACCCCATCCCACCGATCCTCCAGTCTGTGAGACTGGGGCACCCAGAGATCGAGACGATTTGAAGTAAGCGAATATTTTACCGCTCAGAGTGACTCATACGGCTGCAGGCAGAACAGAGAGAGTGATACCCAGCTGAAGAGGGCTGCTGGGGATGAAAAGGAGCTTTGTGCCTTACGGACCGACCAGTGACAGATCGCAAAAATCTATTTCTAGATGATAGAGGTGTTACCAGCAAAACTCACACCTAGATTTGTGAGCCACTGATGGCAATAGCCAATTAAAAGCAATAAATTAGCCTTTTTATGGAGGGAAATATACATTTTTCTTCAATCTTTGATAATACAATTACATATGTGTCAAAATATTTATATTTAGACCATAAACCAGCCTCTGCTCATCAATTCTGTTCTATTTGAACAATAAAATGTTGAATGAATCTTTTTAGATGGTTAAAATACCTGTAGTTAACTTTTCAATTTTGAAATTAGACTAAATTGATTTCATTTGTTAAAACCCTTTTTAACCTTAGCCCTTTAAATACAGACTTTAGTAAACAATGCACATTGATAGAAAAGCACATCCTCTGACTTCCTCATGAATGGCTCTTGTTACTAGTCTCTGAGCATCTCTGATGGCTGCTGGGAGGAGGGGGGGGCTGAAGCCGTCCCCGCATCAATGAGCCTGTTGATCAAAAACGACGGCTGCACTGGTAATGACACAGTTCACTGATCCGTCCAAGAGAAAATAAAACTCAGCTTTCACCTCCCGCCATACTTAAGCTGGACCTTCCTGCTGACTCGTCTCCATTCTACCTCAAGATACTGAAGCACCTGTCTGAAGCCATGATGGTTCGGAGCGCAGCTCTTCTGGTGGTTCTTGTTCTGTGTGCCGATTCGCGTAAGAATCTACATTAATATATATTTAAAAAGACATTACTAGTAAGGAAACGGTTTGCTTATTATGCTGGTTATTTATGTCTTCCAGAGGATTACTGTTACCATGAGCCAGATTGTGGTGAGTAAACTAATAAGTATTATTTATCTTAACTTTTGGAGCTTTTTGAGATTTGAATCCTTCCTTATTCTTCTAATGTTATGTCGGAACTAAATATCTATAAGAGAAAATGTAAAAGGAATAGTTTTTTCTTTAAACATACCTTTGTGTACTTTAAGCAGTCATTGCAGATTTGTCTGCCATTAAGAGGATTTAAACAAAAAATAATTCAGGTTTTTTTGCCCCATTATTCTCCCTATTGGTTAAACGGCAGCTTTTGCTACAGATGAAATCTGGGTGTATAATTTACCTTATAATTCATCAGGTTTTTTCCGTGACTCTAACGACCTAAAAGTCCTTTAATATAGATTAAATGAAGCTAAAACCAGGGTCAAAGCTTATATTGTCATTTTAAACTGAAACAGGATCTCAGTTTTGCTTTTAAAATTGAAGTTGTGGGAAAAAAATGTATAACTAAATACCCCAACTACATGTGTTCTTATATCCTAATTCTGAGCAGACACATTTTACCGGAAGGGGCAGGGTGAGGTCAGTTTTTTTTTTCTGGGGGCAGTGAAAAAAAAAAGAAAAAAAGATTCATCTTTTGAAATGCTAAGTGAACCAAATAAACATTTGCAGCTCTGGAAACCTCAGATATAGCCGATTAAAACTGTGATCATATCTCAATATTACTTAAGCTAAAAAAAAATTCCATGAATGTTGAAATAAAGCTTTAAAAAATAAAAAAAATGATCCGGGGGATGCATCTCTTATGTTTTCTGTGACGGCACATATTGTTTTATTTGGTAAGATTTCGTTACTTCAGCGGCTTTAGCAGGGGCCAGATTAATTCCACTGTGGCCCTGCCCCTGGTCAGCCCCTGTCTTGAACCGCCCATGGTCATGATTGTAAAGTAAGTGTGACTGGATTTTTTAGTGATGAATTGGTCTTAATACACCTGTTGAGAAGTAAGACTTGATGATCCAGACTAAAACTCAAACAATTTACTTCCTGATTTTGGTGGAAAAATCTTAAAAAATGTCATTTTTAAGAAAATCTTTCTTTGCATTGCTTGAATTTAAAAAAAAAAACATTTTGTTCTTGTTTATATTTTGTAAATTCGGTCGACTCTTTGAAATTCTCCTTCACTAAACGTATTTCCTCACCTTCCTTCTCCATCAGATCCTTACGCCTGGGGAGACTTCTTCCCCTCATGCCACCCTCTCCTGGGGGGCCACCACTCCCCCATCAACTTGGACCATCACATGGTCCGGAACCTCTCCTTGGGGCTTTTACATCTGGAGGGTTTTGATGAGACCCAAACAGGCCAGTGGACGCTGGAGAACGACGGACACTCTGGTGACCAACCTGCAGCTTTGCTCACAGAGGCCTCCTGTTTTAGAGTTAAATTTGACACTCGTGTCGCGCCCCCTCCCCTCCCAGTTTTGTTACAGGTTGGAAGTGGGATGTCTGTAAGTGGCGGAGGTCTTCCAGGTGTTTACCACACTGTCCAGGTTCACTTCCACTGGGGAGACCCTTCGACGAATGGCTCTGAGCACACGGTGGACGGACGCAGATACCCGATGGAGGTACAGTTTGGTCAGTAAAAAGCGCTTCACTGTCTGATTCAGCAGGCTGCTGCGCCGCAGCCGTCCCCTAACCTCTCTGCTCTGTTTCAGATGCACATAGTCAATATGAAGTCCATCCATCCTAATGTATCTGCAGCTGAGGAGGATCCAACCGGGTTTGCTGTTCTCGGCTTCTTCATCGATGTAAGTCAATAAAAAACATTCAGCATTTAAATCAATCATCTTTGCATAAAGTTGTGTTGTTGTTTTTGCAGGTTGTTTATGCAGACAATGTTCATTTTAGCCACATTTCCCAAAAGCTATCTTCAGTAGCTTACAGAGGTTAGACACGCCCTTTACAAACACCCTCAGCTTTCTCTTGTGTGTTGCTTGTGGCTCTTTTTCTGACGTTTCTGTGAATCTTTCGCCAAAAGGCCAAATGACTGGAATAAAGCCGTTCCCACTGCTCAGCCTCCTGCCCAAGCTCAACATGAGCCAATATTACCGTTACTCTGGCAGCCTCACCACCCCACCCTGTTCCCAAGCAGTAGTTTGGACTCTCTATGAGGTCCCCATCTACATCTCCTGGTCTCAGGTTGGTCTCTTCAGTCTGATGCTTGTTAAAGGATTCCTTCCTGGTAAGTGCTGACTAGTCATGTTTCTACTACCTTCTTCCTCAGCTGGCTCAGTTTACCTCACAGATCTTCTCTACTGAGGAAGACGCGGCGCAGGTGACGCCTCTGCAGAACAACTTCAGACACCTCCATACCCGATTCAGCCGTACCGTATCGGCCTCTAGAGACGCCAGGCTCCTCAGGGGGACGGCAGATCCTCTGACGCTGCTGTCGATGCGTCTCCTGCACATCGTTGTGCTGGGGCAGTTTTATCTTTAAACCTGTTATCCCAGAATGACATGTTCCTTGAATTTATTATTAAACCCCACTGAGTGTGTTCGATCTCTCATTCCTTGCTTTGTGTTTTCTTTTAAATCCCTTAACATGGATTATTTCTATGAATTATTACTGGCCCAAATGAGGCCGATCATAAAAAACTGCTTTGTGTTCGAGCCATGAACAACATGAAGCCAGAAACTAAGTTTTCCTGTAGAGTTATTCACTTTTAAAATAGGAGGTAAAGTGGAGAAATCTACCATTTAATCTGCTATTTAAAGAGTAATTTGTTGGTATCTGTTGAGAAATGTGGTGTAAGAAAAAAACCAAATGTGAAAAAAATTGAAATTAGTTAAAATATCTGAATGTGAGGTGAGTTCAGCTTAAATTCAAGTGAAATTAAGTTTGATTTTGGGGGCTTGGAGTTGATTTATTAGCCTGACGTAGTCCTACTCAATTCTAGTCAGACTTTGCGTCTGATCCTGCTCCATAGAGCTGTGATTATGGGGCGT